GTTCTCTGAAGATGCCAGTCACAGATGCTGGCGAAACGTTAGGTAACAAAACTTCCAGAACACGGCCACACAGCCCAGAAGACCCATACCAGCCATCGTATTCCGGCCGTGAAAGCCTACAGTCTTACAATTAAGGGGAAAAAAACCCCTTTTCACAACACAATACAAATGAAGGACAATATCTTAGGTTTAGATTCACCACATAAAATATATACAATTTTATATTTTATTTGCAGGTCCATGTACCATACTTATGAATACATAAAAGTGCTGGTTTTGTCCTATGAAATACACATAACAGATTAAAAACCAAGAAAATAGTGAGTCCCAGTTGATTATTTTACAGGTTGAAATTAGTATCACATTCATAAATAGTTTCAGTGTTATTCTTTGCAAGAAATTCATGTTATTTGCATTAAAATTCTTAATAAAAATATTTATCTTGAAATTATGTAAGTCATTCATCTCAGCTAATTGTGATATAATATAAATAATGATTTGCCAAGCAACCTGTGGATCTGTGACTAGTGAGATTTTATCAAAACACTTCTTGGCTTTTGTTTTGGATCTTAAACACCTAAGCTATACCTAAATTGTATTATAGCTTAAGCATTTTTGTTGGGTTGGTAAGTATGAAATTGGATCACTCTAATTCAGTTAGCACCTGTATAAAACGACACATATCTTTATCTTAATAGTTTCTAGGTAACAAATTATAGGATTTCTAGCATGTCAAAGAATCTACCATTTTTATTTTGGTATTGATAGTAAACTGTATCTCATATTATATTTTTTAAGAGAGTTAATACAAAAAATGTCCAAGTACCTCTGAATAGCTCCACCTGATCTGAGCAGAATTGTTTCACTGGACTGGAGTCCCTGATCCTGGAGAGTTTTAGTCATGCTCATAATCTGCAACTCCCTCCCATATTACAGACCATGCTTTTCAATTCAGCAAAGTCAAGGACTGAGAAAAAGGAATCATGTTCTTTGGTTTAGGACAAAAAGCCAGTTTTAAATAGATTAAGTCTCAACATGTAGAGGGCCTAACAATTAGACAAGTGAGAGCTGCAGCGTAATTCACTGTAAATAATATATCATGCCAACCCATACATTAGCATGATCCATTCCAAACCCGTTTTTCAGCTGATGATCGCATGATTCAGCATATTACACCAACCCATAATCATGATCCCTTAATTGTATTTTAGTGCAAGAATGAGCAGCTGATAGCCTGCCAATCATTTATGGACCCCAAATTCCTTTTTGGAGACTTGCCACTGAATTTTGTTAGTCAAACTATTAAGCAATGGAAAATATGATCTCCCCCCCATTGTTTGGCAGGGAAAAAATATATTAGAAGGATGTATAAGCTTTTTCTTAGGCTTAATACACTAAGGAAAGAAACAAAAAACAAATTCCAAAAACATAATACCAGCATAAAACACATAGCTGTCTTGTCTACTACTGTCCTGCCCAACCTTGCATTAAACGAACTAAGCTACCTAAAAATACTAACTAAAAATACCAACTAACTAAAAATACTAGCAAGGTTCACCACGTATAGTTTATGTAAAAAAATATCTCAGAACATCAGCTTTAAAACAGTTATCTAATGTTAAAATAATGTAAACTTTGTACTTACCATGTAATTACTATAGGCATGATCAAACATTTCCAGTACTTGATTTCTGAAAAAGAGATAAAACCAGAATAATTTAATTGCTCAATTCTCCTCTGAGTGAAAGATTTACTGGCAATATTTTTTAATCTGCATAGACTTTCAAAACAGTTTGATGAACTTTTGGGAATTTTACAGTAAGATGCAACGAACAGTACAGCTGAGAGCTTATATAAAGCCAAAATCTACACACTATACCAATTTTATAAACATTTCCTTTTACAGTCCTAGGCTATTTAACCATTTATTATTTATTAATTATTATCTTACCAAGAGAGGAATGCTTGTTTATGAAATTATTTTTAAAAACACCTGGCTTTTTTTTTTTACTTAATAGGAATTCAAAGTGACTATATTTGAATGCCCTGGTCACCTCTGGGTTGGACTACTGTAATGCGCTTTACATGGGGCTACCCTTGAAGAGTATCCGGAAGCTACAGCTGGTG